AATGTCAATCTTGTGGAGCCAACGTAATTTTTCTGGTTCTTCTATATTCTAAACAGAATTCTTCTAGAACTTTGTTTAGGTCTCGAAATTGTTGTGTCATTCTGTATTTAGGAATAGCATTTTTCCAGAACCCTTATTAAATGCCATCTATTATAGTGTCAATTTTGTAGAGCCAACGGAATTCTTCTAGTTCTTCTATATTCAAAATAGAATTCTTTTAGAACCTGATTCTCCAGTTTAGAACTCAAAATTCTTTGCGTGTTTTCGTATTTAAAAATAGCATTTTTCTAGAACTTTTTTTAAGCGTGAACCGTTATTTTTACCAACTTCAACCTTGTACGGGAACCTGAATTCTTCTGGATCTTCCCCTTTTAAAACAGAATTCTTCTAGAACTTTGTTTAATTTAGGTCTCTAAGTTTTTGTGTCATTCTGTATTTAGGAATAATAGCATTCTTCTAGAACCCTTATTAGATGTCATCTATTATAGTGTCAATCTTGTAGAGCCAACGGAATTCTTCTAGTTCTTCTGTATTCAACATAGAATTCTTTTAGAACCTGATTCTCCAGTTTAAGACTCAAAATTCTTGCGTGTTTTCGAATTTAAAAATAGCATTTTTCTAGAACTTTTTTAAGCGTCAACCGTTATTTTTTCCAACTTCAACCTTGTATTGGAACCTGAATTCTTCTGGATCTTCCCTTTTTATAACAGAATTCTTCTAGAACTTTGTTTAGTTTAGTTTTCGTGTTTTGAAATAGCATTTTTCTAGAACCCTTATTAAATGTCATCTATTATAGTGTCAATTTTGTAGAGCCAACGGAATTCTTCTAGTTCTTCTATATTCAAAACAGAATTCTTTTAGAACCTGATTCTCCAGTTTAGGACTCAAAATTCTTGGGTGTTTTCGTATTTAAAAATACCATTTTTCTAGAACTTTTTTTAAGTTTCACCCGTTATTTTTTTTTCAACTTCAACCTTGTACTGGAACCTGAATTCTTCTGGATCTTCCCTTTTTAAAACAGAATTCTTCTAGAACTTTGTTTACTTTAGGTCTCTAAATTTTTGTGTCATTCTGTATTTAGGAATAATAACATTCTTCTAGAACCCTTATAGATGACATCTATTATAGTGTCAATCTTGTAGATCCAACGGAATTCTGCTGATTGTTTTATATTCAAAATAGAATTGTTCTAGAACCTGATTATCTAGTTTAGGGCCGAAAATTCTTGCGAGTTTTCGTGTTTAAAAATAGCATTTTTCTAGAACCCTTATTGAATGTCATCTATTATAGTGTCAATTTTGTAGTTTTCTAGTTCTTATATATTCAAAATAGAATTCTTTTAGAATCTGATTCTCCAGTTTAGAACTCAAAATTCTTGCGTGTTTTCGTATTTTAAAATAGCATTTTTCTAGAACTTTTTTTTAAGCGTGAATCGTTATTTTTACCAACTTCAACCTTGTACTGGAACCTGAATTCTTCTGGATCTTCCCTTTTTAAAACAGAATTCTTCTAGAACTTTGTTTACTTTAGGTCTCTAAATTTGTGTGTCATTCTGTCTTTAGAAATAATGGCATTCTTCTAAAACCCTTATTAAATGTCATCTATTATAGTGTCAATCTTGTAGAGCCAACGGAATTCTTCTGGTTGTTCTATATTCAAAATAGAATTCTTTTAGAACCTGATTATCTAGTTCAGCATCAAAATTCTTGCGTGTTTTCGTATTTAAAAATAGCATTTTTGTAGAACTTTTTTTAAGCGTGAATCGTTATTTTTACCAACTTCAACCTTGTACTGGAACCTGAATTCTTCTGGATCTTCCCTTTTTTAAAAACAGAATTCTTCTAGAACTTTGTTTACTTTAGGTCTCTAAATTTTTGTGTCATTCTGTATTTACGAATAGCATTTTTCTAGAACCCTTATTAAATGTCATCTATTATAGTTTCAATCTTGTAGAGCCAACGAAATTTTTCTAGTTCTATATTCAAAATAGAATTCTTTTAGAACCTGATTCTCCAGTTTAGGACTCAAAATTCTTGCGGGTTTTCGTATTTAAAAATAGCATTTTTCTAGAACTTTTTTAAGTGTCAACCGTTATTTTTTTCCAACTTCAACCTTGTACTGGAACCTGGTTCCTCTGGATTTTCCCTTTTGAAAACAGAATTCTTCTAGAACTTTGTTTACTTTAGGTCTCTAAATGTTTGTGTCATTCTGTACTTAGGAATAATAGCATTCGTCTAGAACCCTTATTAAAAGTCATCTATTCTAGTGTCAGTTTTGCAGACTAACAGAATTCTTCTGGTTGTTCTATTTTCAAAATAGAATTGTTCTAGAACCTGATTATTAGGGCCGAAAATTCTTGAGAGTTTTCGTGTTTAGAAATAGCAATTTTCTAGATTTTTTTTAAGCGTCAGTCATTATATTTCTTCTCCAAGTTCAATCTTGTACTGAACACGGAATTCTTCTAGTTCTTCCCTATTCAAAACAGAATTCTTCTAGAACCTTGTTGAGTTTACATCCCGAAATTTTTGTGTCACTCTGTATTTAGTAACAGCTTCTAGAACTAGAGAATTTAATAAAGATTAAATGTTATCTATTATAGTGTCAATCTTGTAAAGGCAACGGAATTCTTCTGGTTCTTCTATATGCAAAATAGAATTCTTCTATAAGCTGATTATCCAGTTTAGGGCTCAAAATTATTCTGTGCTTCCGTGTTTACAAATTTTTCTAGAACTTTTTTTAAGTGTGATACATTAGATTCTTTCTTCAATTTCAACCTTGTTCTGGAAACAAAATTCTTCTAGATCGTTGTTTAGTTTTACGTCTCGAAATTTTTGTATCTCCCTATATTTAGTATTAAAATTCTTGTAGAACGCTTATTAAATGTCATCCATTATAGTGCCAATCTTGTAGAACCAACTGAATTCTTCTGGTTCTTCTATATTCAAAATAAGATTCTTTTAGAACCTGATTATCCAGTTTAGGACTCAAAATAGTGCGTGTTTTCGTGTTTAGAAATAGCATTTTTCTACAACCTTTTTTTTCCAACTTTATCCTTGTGCTGGAAACTGAATTCTTCTAAATCTTCCCTCTTCAAAACAGAATTCTTCTGGAACGTTCTTCTGTTTCGTACTGCAATTTTTGTGTCACTCTGTATTTAGTAACAGCTTCTAGAACCCTTTTTAAAAGCCAACGTAGTTCTTCTGGTTCTTCTATATTCAAACTAGAACTCTTCTAGAACCTGATTATCCAGTTTAAGGCTCAAAACTCATTATATTTCTTCTCCAACTTCAGGCTTGTACTAGAAACCGAATTCATCTGGTTCTTCCCTATTCAAATCAGAATTCTTCTAGAACTTTGTTCAGTTTAGGTCGTGAAATTTCTGTATCAATCTGTATTTCCCAATAGCTTCTAGAATCCTTATTAAATGCCATCTATTATAGTGTCAATCTTTAAGAACCAACGGAATTCTTCTGGTTCTTTTATATTCAAAACAGAATCCTTCTAGAATCTGATTATCCAGTTTAGGGCTCAAAATTCTTGTGTTTTCGTGTTTAGAAATAGCATTTTTCCAGAACCTTAGTATCAGCCATTTTTTTTTTCAACTTAAATCTTGTACTGGAAACGGAAGTCTTCTGGATCTTCTTTCTTCAAGACAGAATTCTTTTAGAACTTGAGTTTACGTTTCGAAATTTTTGTGTCCCTCTGTGCTTAGTAATAGCATTCTTCTAAAACCCTTATAAATGTCATCTATTTTATTTTTTCTTCAACTTCACCGGTACTCTAACATTTTCAACATCTTCATCTGTTTCTTCTAATTTAGGAAGAACTCCACACGTTTTCAGCTTACGTTTTTCTTCAGTTCTTCAAAAGCAAACTTCTTGAAATTGCAGTTTTTCTTAGTTTCAGAGCTTTTGAAATATAATTTAAATATTTCATTAAATAACGGCCATTCCGTCGTCGCCATATTGATTTTTTAAGTACCACATAATTAAAAGAAACCGTGTAGTAAGCTATGCAATTTATTTTTGTAATGATCATGTTGGCATTGCAGTTATTTAAAGGTTAATTGACAGTTATTTCACAAATGTCAATTTGCACACGGAGTACGTTAGTGTTGCCAACACATTTTTTTAACATTAAAATTCTTTGAAAACATTCTTGTACACACTGATGTCACACTGACAGTGATTTGTCATGTGTTAAGTATATAGAAAAAGCAAATCAAGGATGGTAAAATTGATTTATCTTCTTGATCACACTTGATACAGTTTTTTCGGATGTTTTGTTGGTTGCATAATCAGCAAACTTTAAATTTTATGGTACTCCTATTATTTACAGAACAGAAATGCAACAAAAAATGAAAAAAGTAGAAAACTAATAAGTGTTCATTTTCACGGAAAACTAGACATAATTTTATCCCACCAAAGTTCATGTGTTTACTGATACAGTTTTTTAAAAATTAACCAGTAAAGATTGAATCGTCACCTTTCGATTTACCATCACAATTCAATTTCGACCGTCAACCCAAAAACCGCGCTCGATCCACAATACCTCCAGACGTCACTTTCATCTCATCCCATATTTGTACATTTCCACCACGGCGGCAAGTGGGTAACCGGCTCCATAACCTCATTCGATAAATCTAGTTCCGAGCAGCGCTCACGTGACCAGCAGGTATGCGAAGTGAAAGGGTGTATGGTTGTCGAAAAGATGATCTTTGCCATCACATAAAAAACCTAATAGCTGATTAAGCAGAACAGCATTCCTAAGATTTCTGGCTACGAGACGCGTGCGCGTTTCCCTTGACCGAGACTTCTTCACTACCGTGTTCTGGGTGCTGGTGCTCGGGCACGCACTGCTCGATATTTCAATCGGACACTTTCTAATCCGGGCGGGGGTCATCAAACCACTTCTATTATTATTATAATTATAATAAAAACTAAAAAATAAGACTGTTGTTAATATAAATGACACACTTTTGACTGATTCCTCGTTTCCAGATGGCGACCACCGAAGCCGAGATCTCCACGATCCGCGGCGAGCTGGAGATGGTCCAGAAGGCCCTCAAGGTCCAGACGCGCCGGTGCCGCCAGCTGGTGACCGAGTACACCAGACGGCTGCAGCAAAAAGAGCAGCAGTACCAGTCCGAGAAGGCCTTACGCAACGACCAGCTCACCAAAGTACTCCGGGCTTTAATCATCTTCGAGGCGCGGTTGAAGCAAGAACAGAAGTTTATCAGTCACCAGCTCAAGGAGAAGGACCACATCATCAGCAAGCAAAGCAACGAGATCAAGAAGCTCATTTCCAATCAGTATTGCAAGAGTTGTAACCAGTATTATAGCCCTAGCTCGAACTTGGAGAGTCTGGATAGCAGTTCGGAGTACGTCGTGACGGACTACCAGAGTTCGAACTTCGAGTCGCTTGACAGCAGTAGCGATATTTACGCGACGATTTCTGAAAAAAGTTTTGACAACGACAAGGATTCCGAGGGGAAGATTTATTTGAAGAATAAAGGGAAGGATTCGTTGGGGAGGAGGGCGAAGAAGTTCCAACACAGGAAGAGTGTGGGGACGTACTTCGAGGTGTTGAAGCTCAGAAATGACAACTTGAGTTCGAATGAGGACAACACGAGCAACGACTACGATAATTTGGAGTCGCTGTCGAGTGAGATTATCACAGACAAGATCAACGTGGTGTCTGAAAGCATTGAAAACATATTTAAGCAGAACGGACTCGACGGTAAAGAAAATGACTCGAGTTCGAATTTAAGCGCGTCTGAGTGTAACAGTACCGTTATCAACAACCAAGCCGAAGCTAAGAATGACGTTCTAATTGACAAAAAGGACGCCGAAAGTAAATCGAAAATTACTGACTCGATCCCCGTTTTTGAGGGGGATGGAGAGACCAATGACAACTGGTACGCCAGCGCGAGTGACCAAGAAGACGACGAGCAACGCGACATTTACAGAAATAACCCGGTTCTAGAGTGCATGAACCAAATTCTTCTGCAAAACATCAACGACTCGATGAACTCTCCCCCGAAAACCCCGAACCCGGAACGAAAATCTTTAAAAAATAAGAAAGTCAAGTTTAGTGACGAGGAAGAGAAACTAGTGAACACCCCACTGACGAAAGAGAACGTCTTGGAAAACACTCAAGACACTAACTCTCACGGCTACTACGAAACTCCGATCCAGAAGGTCCCGAACTTCTACGAAACCCCGCAGAGTATCTACAGCAACGACTACGAACAAATCTTGAGCAAGTGTAGCGAAACGTTCTCTCCCCCTAGTCCTGAGAAAACTAAAAAGAGCGGAGTGTTGAAAAGTCCGGATCACTTCTACGTCGACCTTGATCAGAAAACCGAAGAAGGCAAAGATGCTCCAGTTCGTCGGATGAAAATTCTGAGAGTCCCTCCAGCTCTCCCACCCAAACCCGCGAACCTAGTGATGAAATACAAACTCCAAACTGGGACGAAATCAAAAGATAGTGACACTGTAGAATCAGAACCTGATTATTGTTCGATTTCTGAGTTAAACCTCCCCACTAAGAACGTCTCCTTCCGAAAGATTAACGTGATCGCCGAGATTAACCCCCCCATGGGTCAAGACGTCATCAGCAAACTAGAACGCGCGAAAAAGCGGTCACCAGAACCCGACTACGACCCAGTAGGAACCGACTCCTCCCCCAATCTCGTCGTAAAAAAATGCGTGGAGAAACTCAACATCCAACTAGCCAAACAAACCCCGATTAAGTCCGACTCACCTAAAAAGAACGAACCCGAAATACCAAAGTTACCCCAAGTATCCGAGATCATCATCCCGGATGAAACCGAGCAACAAGAAGAGAGAATCAGCCACGACAACTACGTCAAAAACAACTCCCAGATCCTCAAACTCAAAACCAGCAAATTCGAGCCCAACCGACGCTCCATCGTCATGGGGACGTCCGTCTCCAGCCTCATTTCAGGCTTCAACAACCAACTAATCTCCGAAATCAACAAGAAACCAGAGAAGCGGGCGTTTTCGAGTTTTGAAAACCTACAAAACTTAGATAAACCCAAGAATGAGAGTCAGTTTGACAAGTTTGATTTGAGTCAGAATTTCGAGGAGTTCAAGTTGGACGACTGCGAGATCGAGGAGTATAGTGTGAGTGATATTCCCGATATCAGTGAAGAGGAAGTCAAGTCGGATACCATCACTCTCGAGGAGAAGAAGCCGAATTCGACCCGAGTTGAGTTGATTCGGGCGACGAACGACATGGTGCCGAATTTGAACGTGAGTTCTGTGGAGATGTTAAAAAGACAGTTGGAGATGCAGAAGAACAAGATGGCGAGTGAGCAGTTGAGGGAGAATCAGGCGAAGAGCAACGAGCCGACGTATGAACACTTCCTGGAGTGTACCGGGTTGAGTTCTAAGTCGATTTTGACACCGTCGAGGCTTTTGAGTAACCACAAAAGTATGCTCAAACCTAAGGATATCAAGTTTAGGTCCAAAGTGAATAAAGGGAATGTGTTGGAAAGGCACAGCACAGGTGTTATTAAGTACTGGTCAGAGCCATATATTTAGTGTGTGTACATTAACGTAGCTTTAAGTATTGTTATTTTATTTATGTTTATTGTATTGTTTTCACCTTGGCAAGGTATAAAATTATTACTTTTGCACTGCTTTTGTTGTTAGAAATTCTTATTCACGTCGTCTTGCTATTGTGCCTAACTCATGTACATAGACGTAAACACTGTATTATTGTTTTAATAAACTATTTATTGTAAAGAATGTGACTTTGTTGTCCCCGAAAACCTGACGGACGTATTGTGTGTTGCCTAAATTCCAATTTGCTAAATTAATCGTTTTCTTGTCTAAATACCTAGGCTACCAACGTCAAAAATGCATTTATTCAAAACCGGGGCCCCTTTTCCTGACCTTTATGAAATTTAGATTAGTAAACACTTTTTGTATGTAAAGTGAGTGGCGTAAAAATCCACTTGGTATCGTACCATGGCCGATATCGCTAGCACCGTCAAAGACATTTGTCTCTTGTGGATAAAATTCGTTTTTGCTTTAGGGAAAGCTGCGTACCGTAAAGTCGTACCAGTGCAGCTGAAACCAGTGAAAGGAGAAATCGTTTTGGTAAATTTTCACCCTCAAAAATCGTTTAAATAGACACTCTTTCAGGTCACTGGGGCTGGACATGGAATAGGCAAGGAGTTGGCGGTTTTGTATGCATCTGAAGGTGCAACGGTGGTGGCCTGGGACGTTAACACCAAAACTAACCAAGAAACCGTTTCAGAGATAAACCAAAGGGGCTACAAAGCCTATGCTTACCAGTAAGATTCCAATTCCAATTCGTTCTTTTCACTAAAATCGCCAAATTTTCAGTTGTGACGTTACCAAAAGAGAACAAGTGTTTGAAGTTGCTAAGAAGGTACAACAAGAAGTTGGAACAGTGACGATTTTGGTCAATAACGCTGGAATCATGCCGGCCAAGACTCTACTCGACCACACCCAAGAGGACATTGAACGAATTTTTGCTCTGAATGTTTTGGCCCACCATTGGGTAATTAATACGTTATAGTGTGACCGTCTCTATTTTTGTGATTTAGACGATACAAGCGTTTCTGCCTGACATGAAAAAGAACCACCATGGTCACATAGTTGCTATATCTTCCATAGCTGGACTGATGGGTTCGGAATACGTAGTGCCGTATTGTAGTACCAAGTTTGCCGTGGTGGCGCTGATGGAAGCTCTACAGCAGGAATTAAGACTCGAGAAGGTTTACAATGTTGGGTTTACGACGGTGTGCCCCTATGTCACAGACACGGCTTTGTGTAAAAAACCAAAAATTAAGTTTTCTAGTGTAATGGCGATGTTGAACCCGGCGGATGTGGCCAAAGCGGTCATGAAAGCACAAAGAACCAACGAGGTACTTGTTACAGTACCAAAATATTTACTACATTTGGTTAAATTTACCAGGTTATTTCCATACGAAGTTGGCGTTTTGGTGAGGGATTTCTTCGACTCTGGATTGTACGCCGATTCGTAATTAACGTGCATTGTTGGTTGCCTACACACCTATTTTTCATTTAAGATAAATAAAAGACTGGTTTTGGTAATTTATAGTTTATTTGTATCGAGTAAAATACAATTTCCAACTTTTCATAATAGAATTTACACAGACATACTTTATAATCACCATTTTTACAAGACAATCTATAAAGTAAAAAAATATAATATAACAAAATTAATGTTAGATAAACTGGACATAGAAATGAAACAAAGAAAATATACATAAAACTATATGGCATATGTTACAAAATCTTTGGTTATACTAGCCACGTCATGGTAAAAAAATACAAGTTAACAAAAAAATACACACAACAATGATAAAATGCAAACAAAATAACTAAAGATACAATAGAATGGATAATAAAAGTAACTAAAGAGAGTTTAGGTTAGATTCTAGCGTAAGTCAGGCATGCAGTGAGTAGAAATAAGGATCGAGAGAGACAGGAGGAGTAAAGTAGAAGTAAACATTCAATATTTACAGAAATACCTATACACAGAAATTCATAGAATATCTTAAGTAATTATTAAAATTTATATTCCTTTAATGTTATATATATTGTATACATATTTTAATATTCGAAAAAGTCTCACATACCTTGAGATTTCTTTTATAATAAATGCTACTTTATCAATTAACATTAGCAGTACTAAGTAAATAGGTTTATATCAAATGGCTACATTATTGTCAACAAATCTTATACATTAGCTCACACGCTGGAAATAATAATTATATTAGGTACATAATTTGGAATGATTTCATTATTATACTTAACTCTGCATCGTTTATTTAAAGTACTCTAAATTGGGTAACTGAATCACCGTTTTTGTATCAACTTATCGTTAGGTCCTTAATTAAATGCTTATAAAAGTTAGTGAGTAACGAGTTGCACCATTTGTTCATTGTATTGTTGAAAATCTATCAGCACTACGTATTGTCATGTAAACACCTCGAATGAGTGGCTGCTGACCGCCCTTATTGTACTGTTTATGAACTAAAGGCAGGTTACGAACGTTCTAACGAACACCTTATCAACTATTATAATATCGATGTTTCGAAACCAAATATCTACAATCACACAAAGGCTATACAATTCGTTGGTGTATGGCACTTATAAAGCAAGATTTTATGTTACATATCTACAATCGGCAATTAATAAAAAAATAATATCTTAAATTTCCAATCACAATGAACGCTTCGAAAATATACACCTGACTAATCAATGGTAACTAATGGCTTTGAACGCAGGATGGGCGAACCCACCCACCCTGTATACTCGAATTGCACGTAATAACATCTCGAACATTGCCCTGGTGCCCCCTCGCCTGCTGTTACACCACCGGAATTCAGAGTGGTGGAAGACAGTTGATTCCTCTGGCACTGCTAGACTGTATACTGAGTATTATTATACAGGTACCAGACAATTTATTTACATGCTAAATTTAAACGCAGAGACACGCATCAACAACAAAAACAGACAGTTTAATTAAAACCTCGAAATACAATGGAAAAGAATTGCCGCGGCAACTGTTCTAGGAAACGTGCCTTACGAAAATAAATATCTCAAATTGCACACTGGAGGTTTCTTAGACCATTGCCGACCGAATATGAAAAACTGCTGGCTTCCTCATCTTAGCTTCATAAATATTTCTTTATATAAACTCTGTTCTTTTTTAAATACTATTTACATTTGGCTCAAGTTACGCGTTTGGCAAGTTCCTTTGGAGTATTAGTACCGTCACTCTAAGTACTGGTGCGGGCCCAGCCACCTTTACTCTCTGTACGGCTTGCAGTAGGAGTACCGGTGGTTCATGTGCTGGCTGTAGGAACCCGAGTGCGAGAACCTCTTCAGGCATTTCACGCACTGAAACGGCTTCTCTCCGCTGTGAAGACGCTTGTGCTCGGTCAGATGGTGCTTGTGCTTGAAGGCCTTAGGGCACTCGTCGCACTTGTGGGGACGCTGCCCTGCAAAAAACGAAACCATCAGCACAAGCTACACAGTTACATTCTTTGGACAGCAACCAAGGGAACTGCTGAAGTACATAAACTTCCCTTCTTCCAAATCGTCCCATTCGCCCTTGCCCGTGATGTTTTGTTTTTGAAGTAAATTAAAGAGTCACGGGGACCCCTTTTGTTTTTAAAGTAGTTGGAAAGAATCTCGGGTACCCTTTGTGTCTGATTTTTTAAGCAGTTTGAAAGAATCTCAGTACTCCTTTTGTTTTGTTTGTGAAGAAGTTGAAAGAATCTCGGGGACCACTTGTGTCTAGTTTTTGAAGTAAATTAAAGAGTCTCTGGGACCCCTTTTGTTTTTAAAGTTGTTGGAAAGAATCTCGGGTACCCTTTGTGACTGATTTTTGAAGTGGTTTGAAAGAATCTCAGGGCTGCTTGTGTTTGGTTTGTGAAGAAGTTGAAAGAATCTCGAGGACCACTTGTGTCTAGTTTTTGAAGTAAATTAAAGAGTCTCGGGTACCTTTTGTGTCTGATTTTTGAAGTAGTTTGAAAGAATCTCAGGGCTCCTTTTGTTTTGATTGTGAAGAAGTTGAAAGAATCTCGGGGACCCCTTTTGTTTTTAAAGTAGTTGGAAAGAATCTCGGGTACCCTTTGTGTCTGATTTTTGAAGCAGTTTGAAAGAATCTCAGGGCTGCTTTTGTTTGGTTTGTGAAGAAGTTGAAAGAATCTCGAGGACCACTTGTGTCTAGTTTTTGAAGTAAATTAAAGAGTCTCGGGGACCCCTTTTGTTTTTAAAGTAGTTGGAAAGAATCTTGGGTACCCTTTGTGTCTGATTTTTGAAGTGGTTTGAAAGAATCTCAGGGCTGCTTTTGTTTGGTTTGTGAAGAAGTTGAAATAATGTCGAGAACCACTTGTGTCTAGTTTTTGAAGTAAATTAAAGAGTCTCGGATACCTTTTGTGTCTGATTTTTGAAGTAGTTTGAAAGAATCTCAGGGTTCCTTTTTTTTATTTGTGAAGAAGTTGAAAGAATCTCGGGGAGAACTTGTGTCTAATTTTTTTAGTAAATTAAAGAGTCTCAAAGACCCCTTTTGTATTTAAAGTATTTGGAAAGAAGCTCGGGTACCCTTTGTGTCTGATTTTTGAAGCAGTTTGAAAGAATCTCAGGGCTCCTTTTGTTTTGTTTGTGAAGAAGTTGAAAGAATCTCCGGGAACATTTGTGTCTAATTTTTGAAGTAAATTAAAGAGTCTCGGGGACCCCGTTTATTTTTAAAGTACTTGGAAAGAATCTCGGGTGTTCTTTGTGTCTGATTTTTGAAGCAGTTTAAAAGAATCTCAGGGTTCCTTTGGTTTGTTTGTGAAGAAGTTGAAAGAATCTCGGGGACCAATTGTGTCTAATTTTTGAAGTAAATTAAAGAGTCTCGAAGACCCCTTTTGTATTTAAAGTAGTTGGAAAGAATCTCAGGGCTCCTTTTGTTTTGTTTGTGAAGAAGTTGAAAGAATCTCGGGGACCCCTTTTGTTTTGTTTTTGAAGTAAATTAAAAAGTCTCGGAGACCCCTTTTGTTTTTAAAGTAGTTGGAAAAAAAGAATCTCGGGTACCCTTTGTGGCTGATTTTTGAAGTAAATTAAAGAGTCTCGGAGACCCCTGTTGTTTTTAAAGTAGTTGGAAAGAATCTCGGGTATTCTTTGTGTCTGATTTTTGAAGCAGTTTGAAAGAATCTCAGGGCTCCTTTTTTTTATTTGTGAAAAAGTTGAAAGAATCTCGGGGAGAACTTGTGTCTAATTTTTTTAGTAAATTAAAGAGTCTCAAAGACCCCTTTTATATTTAAAGTATTTGGAAAGAATCTCGCGTACCCTTTGTGTCTGATTTTTGAAGCAGTTTGAAAGAATCTCAGGGCTGCTTTTGTTTGGTTTGTGAAGAAGTTGAAAGAATCTCCGGGAACATTTGTGTCTAATTTTTGAAGTAAATTAAAGAGTCTCGGGGACCCCGTTTATTTTTAAAGTACTTGGAAAGAATCTCGGGTATTCTTTGTGTCTGATTTTTGAAGCAGTTTGAAAGAATCTCAGGGTTCCATTGGTTTGTTTGTGAAGAAGTTGAAAGAATCTCGGGGACCAATTGTGTCTAATTTTTAAAGTAAATTAAAGAGTCTCGAAGACCCCTTTTGTATTTAAAGTAGTTGGAAAGAATCTCAGGGCTCCTTTTGTTTTGTTTGTGAAGAAGTTGAAAGAATCTCGGGGACCCCTTTTGTTTTGTTTTTGAAGTAAATTAAAGAGTCTCGGAGACCCCTTTTGTTTTTAAAGTAGTTGAAAAAAAGAATCTCGGGTACCCTTTGTGGCTGATTTTTGAAGTAAATTAAAGAGTCTCGGAGACCCCTGTTGTTTTTAAAGTAGTTGGAAAGAATCTCGGATATTCTTTGTGTCTGATTTTTGAAGCAGTTTGAAAGAATCTCAGGGTTCCTTTTGTTTTGTTTGTGAAGAAGTTAAAAGAATCTCGAGGACCAATTGTGTCTAATTTTTGAAGTAAATGAAAGAGTCTCGAAGACTCCTTTTGTATTTAAAGTAGTTGGAAAGAATCTCAGGGCTCCTTTTGTTTTGTTTGTGAAGAAGTTGAAAGAATCTCCGGGACCAATTGTGTCTAATTTTTGAAGTAAATTAAAGAGTCTCGAAGACCCCTTTTGTATTTAAAGTAGTTGGAAAAAAAAGAATCTCAGGTACCCTTTGTGGCTGATTTTTGAAGTAAATTAAAGAGTCTCGGAGACCCCTGTTGTTTTTAAAGTAGTTGGAAAGAATCTCGGGTATTCTTTGTGTCTGATTTTTGAAGCAGTTTGAAAGAATCTCAGGGTTCCTTTTGTTTTGTTTGTGAAGAAGTTGAAAGAATCTCGGGGACCCTTTTTGTTTTGTTTTCGAAGTAGTTTGAAAGAATCTAGAGGACCACTTGTGTCTAGCTTTTGAAGTAAATTAAAGAGTCTCAGGGAGCCCTTTGTTTTTAAAGTATGTAGTTGGAAAGAATCTCGGGTACCCTTTGTGTCTAGTTTTTGAAGTACTTTGAAATAATCTCTAATTCCGTGATTAGGGGCGGATGGGACTAGTATATGAAAATTCTGGAGTATTCCCGATTTCCTTAGTCCCATCGGTCCCTGTTTGCGGACGAAAAACCCTTTCCTCACCTGAATGCTCATACTTGTGTCTCGCCAACGAGCTCTGCTTGGAAAACGATTTATCACATTGGTCGCAGCTGAACTGCCCCTCGACTTCCACCTCTTGGTTGCCCAACACCGGACTCCCCAGACTCTTCAGCACGTACTGCGACACCTTGTTCCTCTTCGCTAGGTCATCCGCATCCGAAAACCCCTCCCCCAATTCGCGCTCGTTCCACACACTCTTCTTCGAATTCGGGCTCAAACTACTCAAGCGATTGCTGATCAGTTGGGACAAGCTCGGTAGATCTGTCGCTCCTAGTTGCATTAACTGCTCCATGGGCACTAGTCCCATTCCCGGTATGGTCAGTTTGTGGGCTGGTTGTGCGAGGATCTGGGCCAGGCGGCTGCTGTTGTTGAAGTCGATGGGTGAAGGCGACTGTCTCGGCTCGGACGAGTTAGAATTCTGGTAGTGAGGATAGACGTACGGGGTGGGACTTCGCGAGGACTTCCGACTCAGGTTCACCACCTCTTCGCCGGTGTCCGGGTACTGGTTAACCGAAGTGGGTCTTCGCGGCGAGCTCGTCGGAGAGGAATCAATGGAAGGAGGACCTTTCTTCGTGGAAAGGTCCAAGGGCTGCTCGGAAATGTACTGAGGCGAGATACTCAAAGACGAGATCATTTTGTGGTTGAGTGATTGGGTCGAAGGCACCAGAGGGTATCTCAACGCCGGACTGTAGGGTACCTGGATCAACCTCCCTTCGCGTCTATCTCTAGCTCGGGTGTTCTGGAACCACACTTGCACCACCCTCACCGGAAACCCTATCGTCTCCGCGATTTTCTCTAAATCCTCGCGCTTCGGCCTCGGGTTCATCTTGTAGTGGTCCTTCAAGACTTTCAGCTGCTCGTCGGAGATGAGCGAGCGCACGCGCACTTTTCTGCCGTCTTCGGAGACGTGGTCCGTGGTCGTGACCGACTCACAGTCCATCTCGTCGTCCTCCGGCCGCATCTTCTCCTCGTGCTCCTCTGCCTCCTCCTTCACCGTGACGATGTCCTCCAGCTTCGCCGCCAGCCCCTCGCTCTTCTCGCACTCGTGCTCCTCCATCGACGCCGCGCCGTCGAAGCTCTTGCCGCAGGCCGCGCACGAGGCGCACTCCCGCTTCGGCGAGTGCGCCGACGCCACACTCTGGCAGTCGCTCGACGACTCCGACGAGAACTTGTGAATGTTGGCCTGCAATAACTGTTTCGTAACGGTTGCGTTGACAGTCTCCAAGATTCGCTTTACCGCCTCCAAGTCCCCGCTCGGGGCGGCCTCGTCCTTCTCCTCGCGCGCCTCCTCCGCGTCCTCGTCCATCACCAGCTCGCCGCAGCTGGACGCGTTCGACTTGGCCGCCTCCTCGGCCTCCTCCTTGACGGGCGTGCGGCGGGCGGCGAACTCGTCGCCGCCGCCCTCGAGCACCGGCGCCCGCAGCGGCGACGCGCTGCTTTGCAGCTGCTCGAAGATGTGGCCCAGGCTGGGCATGGAGTAGGGGGTGATGGGTAAATTGGGCGGGGCGAGGTAGAACGGCGGCAAGGACGACGACTGCAGGAAGGCGGCTGCCGCCTCCGAGTACTTGGGCAGGATGGGGAGGTACGAGTTGTGGTTGGGGCTGGTCGCGAGGTTGTTGTTGATCGGGCTGATGTTGGAGCGCTTGAGGGGGCGGCTCTGCGGCGGGGCGCTCTTGTCGAGGAGCGAGCTCGCGTTGGAGGGGGCGCGGGTGCGCCCGAGCTTGAGGTTCATCACGAGGCATTTCTTTGAGGTCATGTGACTAGAGTACGAGCCCGAGTGGGAGAAGCGCTTGCCGCAGTTCGGGCACTCGAAGGGCTTCTCGCCGCTGTGGATGCGGATGTGCTCCTGGAAAAGGGAACGAGATTAAATACAACGAAGACAAACTGACAATGGAACAGAAAACACAAAAAACAGCAGAAGGATATGAAAATGAACCTAAAAAGACACACTGTAAGAGAGGAAGAAAAGAACAGAAATTTTTAGAGCTGGAATACTGAGGCCAGATCAGGTCAGGTCAGGCCAGGTCAGGTCAGGTCAGGTCAGGCCAGGTCAGGTCAAACAAGGAACCCCAGAAATTAAGGTGTTTCACGAATCTTAAACGGGACAAAATGAATAGGAGACAGAAGAGTCAAGACATGAATGGAAAAGTGGGACAAAAAGAAGAAAGACAAATCTATAAGAGGATGGGAACTTAGAAACTTTGAGCTGGAATACAGAGACCAGGGGTGGGATTTTATTTCTATAACGATAAAATATCGGTACCGATAAAATGTGGTCGTCTTTTTCTTTCGCATCTGAAACTTATATTTTCGTCCTTATCATTTATTGCTTCGTATCGTATCGGTAGAAACAAAATCCCACCCCAGGTCAAATAAAGGAACATAAGAATTTAAGATGTTTCAAGAACCTTAAACGGGAGAGAAACAAGATAGACAAATCTATAACAAGAACAGGAACTTACAGTTGGAATACAGAGGCTAGGAACACCAAAATTTAAGATGTTCCAAGAATTTTGAAAGGGACAACATGAGTAGCAGATAGAAGAGTTAAAACATGAATGGAAAAGTGAGACAAAAAGAAAATTGATAAATCTAAGAGGACAGGAACTTAGAGCTAGAATACAAATGCTAGAGAAAGGAAAGAAAAGAGAGCAAATTCAAGGAACACCCGAATTTAAGATGTTTCAAAAATCTTAAACTGGGGAAAATTAAAAGAATGGGACAACACAAAACTATAAGCAAATACGTCTAAAGAGGCTGAAAAATCTAAAACATGAATGAAAAAGTGGGGCAACCAAAAAATAGACAAATCTAATGCATCAGGAACTTAGACCGGAAATACAGAGGTCAGTGAAGTTGAAAGAGAAGAAAGCAAACAAAGGAACACCAGAATTTGAAATGCTTCAGGAATATTAAACGGGACAATATTAAAAGAATAAGAAAATAGATAAGTATAGGGACATCCAGTGAAAAACATGAATGAAAAAGTATGACAAAAAGAAAACAAACAAATCTAAGAGAACAGGAACTTGAAAGCTGGAATGCAGAGGCCAAACGAAATAAAGGAAAAGAAAATAAATACAGGAACATAAAAATTTAACATGTTTCAAGAATCTTAAACGGGACAAAGTGAATAAGAGATATAAGAGTGAAAACATGAATGGAAAAATGGGACAAAAAAAAAGATAGACAAATCTATAACAAGAACAGTAACTTAGAAACTTACAGTTGGAATACAGAGGCTAGGTCAAACAAAGGAACACCAGAATTTAAGATGTTCGAAGAATTTTGAAAGGGACAACATGAGTAGCAGATACAAGAGTTAAGAAATGGATGGAAAACTGAGACAAAAAGAAAATAGATAAATCTAAGAGAACAGGAACTTAGAGCTAGATTGCAAACGCTAGAGAAAGGAAAAAAAAGAGGGCAAATTCAAGGAAACCAGAAGAGGCTGAAAAATCTAAAACATGAATGGAAAAGTGGGACAAACAAAAGATAGACAAATCTAATGCACCATAATTTAAATTGTCGCAAGAATCTTAAATGGGACAAATTTAAAAGATGAAGGCAAGGCAGACAAAATCCATGTAAAGACATGGAAGGGAGCAAAACATAAATGTAAAAGTGAGACAAAATAGAGATAGACAAATCTAAGAGAACAGGAACTTGAACCTGGAATATAGAGGACAGTAAAGTTAAAAGAAAAGAAAGCAAAAAAAGGAACACTAGAATTTGAGATGCTCCAGGAATCTTAAACGGGACAATATTAAAAGAATAAAACAATAGAAAAGTGTAGGGAAATCCATGTAAAAGATGGAGTGTGAGACTTGAATAGAAAAATAGAACAAAAAGGTAATAGATAAATCTAAGAGTACAAGAACTTAGAGCTGGAATACAGGATGCCAAAGAACATAAAAATAAAGAAAACAAAGAAACACAAGAATTTAAGATGTTTCAAGAATGTAAACGGGACAAAATCGAAAGATTAAGACAATACAGAAGTATTAGGAAATCCATGTAGAGAGATAAAAGAATGTAAAATATGAATGGAAAAGTGGAACAAAAAAATAGACAAATCTATGAGAGAACAGGAACTTAGAGCTAGAATACAGAGGCCAGTGAAGTCAAGAGAAGAAAGCAAACAAAGAAACTCTAGAATCTCGGATGCTTCAGGAATCTTGAACGGGACAATATTAAAAGAATAAGACAATAGAAAATTATAAGGAAATCCATGTAACAGATGGAGTGTAAAACATGAATGGAAAAGTAGGACAAAAAAAAAAACAGAACGAGAACTTAGAGCTGGAATATGGAGGCCAAAGAAGATACAGGAAAAGAAGAATTTAGATGTTTTAAGAATCTTAAATGGGACAAAATTAAAAGAATAAGACAATACAGAAGTATAAGGAAATCCATGTAGAAAGATAGAAGAGTACAAGACATGAATGGAAAAGTGAGACAAAAGGAAGATAGACAAATCAGTGAAGTTAAAAGAGAAGAAAACAAAGATCACCAGAATTTAAATTGTCGCAAGAATCTTAAATAGAACAAATTTAAAAGATGAAGACAAGGCAGACAAAATCCATGTAAAGAGATGGAAGGGAGCAAGACATAAATGTAAAAGTGGGACAAAATAAAGATAGACAAATCTAAGAGAACAGGAACTTGAACCTGGAATATAGAGGACAGTGAAGTTAAAAGAACACAAAGCAAACAAAGGAACACAAGAATTTGAGAAGCTCCAGGAATTTTAAACGGGACAATATTAAAAAAATAAGACAATAGAGAAGTGTAGGGAAATCCATGTAAAAAATGGAGTGTGAGACTTGAATAGAAAAGTAGGACAAAAAGGAAATAGATAAATCTAAGAGAACAAGAACTTAGAGCTGGAATACAGGATGCCAAAGAAGATAAAGGTAAAGAAAACAAAGAAATACAAGAGTTTAAGATGTTTCAAGAATGTTAAACGGGACAAAATCGAAAGATTAAGACAATACAGAAGTATTAGGAAATCCATGTAGAGAGACAGAAGAGTGTAAGCCATGAATGGAAAAGTGGAACAAAAAATAGACAAATCTATGAGAACAGAAACTTGGAGTTGGAATACAGAGGCCAGTGAAGTCAAGAGAAGAAAGCAAACAAAGAAACTCTACAAGCTCAGATGCTTCAGGAATCTTGAACGGGACAATATTAAAAGAATGGGACAATATTAAAAGAGTGAGACAATAGAAAAGTATAAGGAAATCCACGTAATAGATGGAGTGTAAAACATGAATGGAAAAGTAGGACAAAAAAAAAACAGAACGACAGCTTGGAGCTTAACACAAGAATTTAGATGTTTTAAAAATCTTAAATGGGACAAAATTAAAAGAATAAGACAATACAGAAATATAAGGAAATCCATCTAGAAAGATAGAAGAGTACAAGACATGACTGGAAAAGTGAGACAAAAGGAAGATAGACAAAACAGTGAAGTTAAAAGAAAAGAAAACAAAGAACACCAGAATTTAAATAGTCGCAAGAATCTTAAATGGGACAAATTTAAAAGGTGAAGGCAACGCAGACAAAATCCATGTAAAGAGATGGAAGGGAGCAAGAGATAAATGTAAAAGTGGGACAAAATGAAGATAGACAAATCTAAGAGAACAGGAACTTAAAGCTGGAGTATAGAAGCCAGTGAAGTTAAAAGAGAAGAAAATAAACACAGAAACACTAGAATTTAAGATATTTCAAGAATCTTAAACGGGACAAAATGAAAACAATAAGATCATAGAGAAATATAAGCAAATCCATATAAAGAGAAAAAGGGTGCAAGACACGAGTGGAAAAGTGGGACAAAAAGAAGATAGACAGATTTAAGAGAACAGGAAGTTGTAGCTGGAATGCAGAGGACAGTGAAATTAAAAGAGAATAAAACAAACACAAGAACTCGAGAATTTAAGATGTTTCAAGAATCTTGAACGGAACAAAATAAAAACAATAAGATTATGGAGAAATATAAGGAAATCCATATAATGAGAAAAAGAGTGCAAAACTTGAGTGGAAAAGTGGGACAAAAAGAAGATAGACAAATCTAAGAGAACAGGAAGTTGTAGCTGGAATTCAGAGGACAGTGAAATTAAAAGAGAATAAAACAAACACAAGAACTCTAGAATTTAAGATGTTTCAAGAGTCTTAAACGGGACAAAATAAAAATACTAAGATTATAGAGAAATATAAGGAAATCCATATAATGAGAAAAAGGGTGCAAGACATGAGTGGAAAAGTGGGACAAAACGAAGATAGACAAATCTAAGAGAACAGGAAGCTGGAATGCAGAGGACAGTGAAATTAAAAGAGAATAAAACAAACACAAGAACTTCAGAATTTATGATGTTCCAAGAATCTTAAACGGGACAAAATAAAAGCAATAAGATTATAGAGAAATATAAGGAAATCCATATAATGAGAAAAAGAGTGCAAGACATGAGTGGAAAAGTGGGACAAAACGAAGATAGACAAATCTAAGAGAACATGAAGTTGTAGCTGGAATGCAGAGGACAGTGAAATTAAAAGAGAATAAAACAAATACAAGAACTCGAGATTTTAAGATGTTTCAAGAATCTTAAACGGGACAAAACAAAAACAATAACATTAGAGAGAAATATAAGAAAATCCATGTAAAGAGATAGAAGAGTGTAAGACATGAATGAAAAGTGGGACAAAAAGAGGATACAGATCTAAGAGAACAGGGACTTGGAGCTGGAATGTAGAGGCCAGTAAAATCAAAAGAGAAACTTCAGAATTTAAAATGTTTCAAGGATCTTAGACGGGACAAAATTTAAAAAATAAGATAAAATAGAAGTATATAGAAGAGTGTAAGACATGAATGGATAAGTGGGACAAAAAACCTACACAAATCTTCTAGAACCGAAAACAAAGCAAAATTTGCTGTAGCGCGTTGCAATACCTGCAAACTTTGCTTTTTGCCCTTGTTCGTGACGTTACGATCGTGTTAACGTTGTATGTGCATTGTTAACGTCAAAGATTATTCATCCGTAATCCCCGTTACAAACTTCACCTCAACATAATCCATTAGACAACAAGTCCGAGCGAACATCGCCGAAACCCGTAATGTCTAGATAAGCAAGTTGCGAACTTACCTTGAGATGGTGCTTGAATTTGAACGCTTTATCGCACTCCGTGCATTTGAATTTTCTGAGCACTGCACTCTCGTCGTGGCTGATCATGTGTCGCTGGAGGCGGTAGACGTTGGCGAAAGTTTTGTTGCAGATCTTACAGGACTGTAACAAAAGAAGTCGACGGATGTAGAGTGTGTTGCATACTTTGCGGGGGCGACGAGCCGGCAAAAACGGCAAAGTTCGCCTAAATCCCCGCGTTGAAGCAGGTGGACGTTGTGACAACTTTGCGCGCTTTTTGCAAGGTTAATTTGGGTCGGCGTAATGAGACGAGTTTCGTTCGACTCATCTGAAAATAATTGGATTATGTGCGATTGTTATTGAAAGAAAACAAAGAACAAAGGGATTTGGTCGGGTCACGTTCCAGAAATACATGAGCGCACCTTGAAAGCGCCTCTAAAAATAAATTCCTTTTTCTTCGACGATCCATACCAGCGGCAATTAATAATAACACAAATGGGCGCCAGAACGTTTAAAAAGAACAGGAAAAAAGCTTTTTATTTCGGAATGGTTCGATGGCGATCCGAACGTTTAGTTCGGCCAGAAAGGAATTCCGGAGGAGTTTTTGGGACTCCACCATACGCTTTTTTCGTATCGTAACTCACAGACTCGATTCAATGTTTTAGCATACTTTAAACAAACCAATTCCCAAAACGAAAAGGTTAACACAAAAAGCCACCTTCCAGACGCAGGAACGTCGAAACTTGGCTCCGTAACTTCTCCTTTTTTCTCGCGCGTGTAAAAAATCCCCATTATATCCCCGTTTCACACGGTTGCGTTGTTACAAACATGCACATGTGTTGAACTCTTTTTGTGGATGCCTGTCATCGGCGTGGATATCTTTCGACCGTTCGGTTCTCTCGCTTGTAAATCCATTAAAACGGGCTAAGTGGAGGGACAAGACAGAAATAGTCGGTTTATTTGATTTGACCACGGCGTGATCGAAGTACAAGCAACCGAGCTTCTGCACCGGGACGAAAGCTGAATCATGAGTGATAAACCGGGAGAGAAAAGGAATCAGCGAATGATTAATTCCGAACGGGACCTGTAGCGTCATCTTCGAAACGCGGTCACATGGGGTGGAAAGGGGTGGGCGATTGACGCACGACGATACTTTTTCAAAGGACATGGAAATTGTGTGGAAAAAAATTGCGAAAGCTGCGTGGGACGGCCTGTAAGTTGGCACTTAATTCTAATTGCTAGATGCTAAGAAAATGTTTGCTTTATAAATTTAATGTAACAAAAAAGAACCAATTTCAACCCGATTCTAAATATTTATGGATTGCGCAAAACAGCTGGGCCGGATTGTGAGTCAAACTTAAAATTAATAAGGAGCAATTAATAGGCTTCGAGGGTCATCTTGATCGGGCGCTAGCATTTTTACGACTTATCTCGGCAACCGTGAGTCTGACAAAAAAATTATATGAAGCATTTGTGTAGACAATACCATTACTTACAACTTTTATTAACAACTTTTCAGCGTACAATTAATAATAAAAAAGTTACGAGCGCAAAAATTAAAAAATTAGGGAATCGTTTTTTCGACTTATCTCGGCCACTGTGAGTCTGACGAAAAAATTGTAACAAGCAATTGTGTAGATAAAATCATTACCTATAACTTTTACTAACAACTTTTCGGCGTACCATTAATAATTAAAAAGATACGAGTGGAAAAATTAAAAAATTGGGGGACGAACACTGCATGAGGGATAATTCTGTTATTTTCGATCATAAAAATTTATTCAGGTTTCTTTAGATAGAGCGTTCCTCCCCTCTGAAGTACCGTCGCACTCTCAGCTTCTCTGAACCGAACAGCGAATCGAACTTAAAATTAATAAGGAGCAATCAATAGGTTTCGAAAGAGGGTCAACTCGATCGGGCACAATCGTTTTTTCGATTTATCTCGGCAACCGTGAGTCTGGCAAAAAAATCGTAAAAAGCATTTCTGTAGATAATACCATTACCTACAACTTTTATTAACAACTTTTCGGCGTACCATTAACAATTAAAAAGTTACGAGTGGAAAAATTAAAAAATTGGGGGACGAACACTGCATGAGGGATAATTCTGTTATTTTCGATCATAAAAAATGTATTCAAGTTTCTTTAGATAGAGCGTTCCTCCCCTCTAAAGTACCGTCGAACTGTCAGCTTCTCTGAACCGTACTGCGAATCAAACTTAAAATTAATAAGGAGCAATCAATAGGTTTCGAAGGAGGGTCAACTTGATCGGGCACAATCGTTTTTCCGATTTATCTCAGCAACCATGAGTCTGACAAAAAAAATTATAAGAAGCATTTGTGTAGATAATACCATTACCTACAACTTTTATTAACAACTTTTTGGCGTACCATTAACAGTAAGAAAGTTACGGGGGGAAAAAATAAAAAATTAGGGGACGATTACCTGATGCGAGATTTACAAAAACTGGTCTAAGGTTATTTAAATAGTGTCCCTCGCTCCTGGAGCCTGAAGTACCCCCGAACAAATACAGCTTCTCTGAATCGAATTGTGAGTCAAACTAAAAATTAACACGTTTCGAAGGAGGATCATCTTGATCGGACACAATCGTTTTTTCGACTTATCTCGACAACCGTCAACCTGACAAAAAAATTGTAAGAAGCAATTTTGTAGATAATATCATTACCTACAACTTTTATTAACAACTTTTCGGCGTATCATTAATAATTAAAAAGTTACGAGTGGAAAAATTAAAAAATTGGGGGACGAACACTGCATGAGGGATAATTCTGTTATTTTCGATCCTAAAAAAATGATTCAAGTTTATTTAGATAGAGCGTCCCTCCCCTCTGAAGTATTGTCGAACTCTCAGCTTCTCCGAACCGTACTACGAATCAAACTTAAAATTAATATTGAGCAATCAATAGGTTTCGAAGGAGGATCATCTTGATCGGGCACAATAGTTTTTTCGATTTATCTCGGCAACCGTGCGTCTGGCAAAAAAATCGTAAAAAGCATTTCTGTAGATAATCCCATTACTTATAACTTTTATTAACAACTTTTTGGCGTACCATTAACAGTAAGAAAGTTACGAGGGGAAAAAATAAAAAATTAGGGGACGAATACTTGATGCAAGATTTACAAAAACTGGTGCAAGGTTATTTAGATAGTGTCCCTCGCTCGTGGAGACTTGAAGTACCGCCGCACAGATACAGCTTCTCGGAGTCGAATTGTGATTCAAACTTAAAATTAACACGTTTCGAAGAAGGATCATCTTGATCAGACACAATCGTTTTTTCGACTTATCTCGGCAACCGACAGTCTGACAAAAAAATTGTAAGAAGCAATTTTGTAGATAATATCATTACCTACAACTTTTATTAACAACTTTTCGGCGTACCATTAATAATTAAAAAGTTACGAGTGGAAAAATTAAAAAATTGGGGGACGAACACTGCATGAGGGATAATTCTGTTATTTTCGATCCTAAAAAAATGATTCAAGTTTATTTAGATAGAGCGTCCCTCCCCTCTGAAGTATCGTCGAACTCTCAGCTTCTCCGAACCGTACTGCGAATCAAACTTAAAATTAATAAGGAGCAATCAATAGGTTTCGAAGGAGGGTCAACTCGATCGGGCACAATCGTTTTTTCGATTTATCTCGGTAACAATGTGTCTGACAAAAAAATTGTAAGAATCATTTCTGTAGATAATACCATTACCTAGAACTTTTATTAACAACTTTTCGGCGTATCATTAACAACAAACAAGTTATGAAAAGAAAAATTAAAAAATTAGGGGACGGACACTCGATGCGAGACAATTTAGCCATTTTCGTTCCTACAAAAACTATTTCAAAATCTAAGTAAGTCGAAATAAACGCAACAAGCCAACAATAAACAAAATCAAGGTGGATTCATAACCCACCACCCTAGAAGGAACTATTCACAAGCACAACGAAAGCAGCAGCGAAAGCACAATCGAATTATCCGCCCTAAAAACCGAAAAGCTGCCCCGCGTTAATCCGCCCAAGTAGCAATTGCAGGGTTTGAATGATTGATTAAGTACTTTCATTAATATTAATGTCAAAAATTATGCCGCCGACCTTTCCGGAGTCATTTATCATTTTTTGTGAAAAAATTTAATAGGTAAGTAATTAGGGAAGTTGTCGGTCGTCTTCGAGTGAGAAAATACATGGCGAAAATCTATTTGAAGGATTGTTTTGCTTGGACGTTTAATTATATTTCGACGCGACGAAGAATTTATTATTTTTCATAGATTATTTCCGTCACAGAATATGATCGAGCTAATTCCTGGCGTCTAATTCTGGATTTTACAACCAATGACATGCCGCATGTAATAAAACTGTGACAAGATAGTCAGACGTGATTCTGGGTAGCAAAATTCGGTTTAGCTTCCGCTTAGGGAAAAATCGGCGGTGAGTACGGTGGGTTGCAGAAGTCACGAGTTAAATAAGTCATGTGAAGTTCGGTGAATCACTAATGAATCAACGAGAGATTACACCGCCATCCTTATCCCTAATGACTAGTTTATTAAAGGATATCTACACCGACAGGAGCGTTTTTATCGTCGTTATCGGTACACTTTTAGGAAACACCACAGAGATTATTATTCACGCAATTATTAATCAAATAGACCGAAACAAACCAACAAAGTGTTTATTTTTAAAATCGGTAAAGTTCGAAGATACGGGAAGTCCGCAAATTGCAAGTGCATCAAAATGCGTAGAGGGTGCAAGCACGTCAATGACGTCACCGGTTTCTCGTTGATTAGAACTTTATTATTTGGCGTTTTTTCCGTGACCTCGCAAACTGTTTCGAGAATCGGGTGCAGATGTCGTGCCCCCTTTGGACAAATATTTCTCGCAAATGAATCCGCTCGTTTAACGACGGTCATTATTATTATTAACATTATTACCGATCCATTGTCTGTGAGGCCAGAAGAGCGTTCATTTCACATGATCTTCACGTGTCAGATGTCACAGATGTGTTAGTATTAATTAAAAATGTAGTCTGTTAAGTTCCTTGGCTCCCGATATACACTGTTTGACTCACATTAATGGAAAGGTTATAAGGGCTTAGGTCAATTGCTGTGTTTACGTAACATCGGTAATAAGATGAGTAAT